CGCTCGCCCGGCGGGGACCCGCAGAGTTCCCGATATATCGCGATTTGCCCCAGACCTCTCTGCTCCTCACCCCCCCAGCCCTGCCTTTACCCCTCTCACACGCTGCCCCGGCGAGAAATTATTGTGATTATTATTATTATAATGAGGAAAGCGATGGGACCCGGCTCGGAAGGAACCAGAGGAGCGCTCACCTTATTTAGATCTATTTTCTCATTTTCTTGAATTTTCTTCAGATCTGTCTTCTCAGAGAAACTAATGCCTTAATGACTTTCTGGTAGCTGCAAGCCTTCTTTTATTTCTGCTAAATATATGAAAATGTATGCAAATTTAAATCAAGCTTAACCTAGGAGCTCTTGCAATATATTTAATGGAATTTCAAACCAATAAGGGGACTCTGATGCAGTCTTCTGGAAGTGCAAATATAATTACGCAGCTCGGTTACCTCCAAAACGATGCAGGGAAAGGTCATTTTGGAACTCGGGAGCGGGTCGGGGGTCCCGGGGCTGCGCCTCCGCCCGCCCCGCCGGGGCTCCGCGGGTGCGGAGCTCTGCCCGCCGGGCCCGGCCGAGCCGGGGGCTCCGCGCTCCCCCCGCTCGTCCCGCGGGGGGGTCCCGGGCATTTCCCCCTCATTCTTTTCCCTTTTCTCACTTTTTCCCCCTTTTTTCTTCCTTTTTCCCGGTTTTGCCCTGCAGCCCGCCCGCCAGGCGCGCAGCGGCGGCGCAACGCGCCCGCGCTGCCAACTTTGAGGAGCATCCACCGGGATTTACCGGCGGCGAGGTCGAGAACCTCCTTTTTTGGGGGCTGTTTTTTATTATCTGGGGCTTTTCTCCGTTTTTTGGTTTTTTTCCCTGCCGAGCACGGCCCGGGGCAGGCGGGGACGCGCGGCTCGGGGCAGCCGCACCGGGGGAGGAGCGGAGCGGAGCGGAGCGGAGCGGAGCGGAGCGGAGCGGGCTCCGCGCACCGGAGCGCGCCCGGACCGGCGGGCGGGGGCAGCGCCGGGGTGGTCCCGCGGGGCTGCCGCCGGGGCGCCGCCGTTTAACCTCTGCCCGCCGCTAATCGCTCCCCATTTAAGCCGTGCCCCCCGCGCCCCCCCGTTCCCAGGCGCTCCCCATTTAAGCCGTGCCCCCCCCGCGGGCCCCGCCGCTCCCCGCCCGGCGCGGAAGGAGTTAAGCGGCGGGGCCGCCTCACGGCCGGCCCCCGGTGCCGGCGGAGTGATTCACTTCCTGCCTCGCGCCCGCGCGGCCCCGCGGCCCCGCCCCGCCGCCGCTCGCCCCGCCCCCGCGCCGCGCCCATTGGCCGGCTCTGCCGGCGGCGCAACCCCATTGGCCGGCGCGGCTGCCAGTCGCGGCGCGGCCGCCGCCGGGCCGCCGTGCCGGTGGATGTCAAAGGCTGGCGCGGCGGCGGCGGCACAGTATAACTCGTGGGGCTGCCGCGGCCATGGCCACAGCCGCCTCCAACCCCTACGGCCTGCTGGGCGCCGGCGCGCTCGCCCACGCCGAGGGCGCGGGCATGCAGCAGGGCAGCCCGTTCCGCAGCCCGCAGAAGCTGCTGCAGAGCGAGTACCTGCAGGGCGTCCCCGGCAATGGGCACCCGCTGGGGCATCACTGGGTGACCAGCCTGAGCGACGGCGCGCCCTGGCCCGCGGCGCTGGCGGGCGGCCCGCTGGAGCAGCCCGACGTGAAGCCGGGCCGCGAGGACCTGCAGCTGGGCGCCATCATCCACCACCGCTCGCCCCACGTCTCCCACCACTCGCCCCACGGCAACCACCCCAGCGCCTGGGGCGCCAGCCCGGCGCACAGCGCCTCGCTGGCCGCCCCCCCCGCCGCCGCCGCCGCCGCCGGGCAGCCCCTGAGCGTGTACTCGCAGGGCGGGTTCGCGGTGGGCGGCATGCTGGAGCACGGCGGGCTCACCCCGCCGCCCGCCGCCGCCGCCGGCCAGGGCTTGCACCCGGGGCTGCGCGGCGAGGCCGGCGGCGAGCACGGCGAGCTGGGCGGCCACCACTGCCAGGACCACTCGGACGAGGAGACGCCGACCTCGGACGAGCTGGAGCAGTTCGCCAAGCAGTTCAAGCAGCGGCGCATCAAGCTGGGCTTCACCCAGGCCGACGTGGGGCTGGCGCTGGGCACCCTGTACGGCAACGTCTTCTCGCAGACCACCATCTGCCGCTTCGAGGCCCTGCAGCTCAGCTTCAAGAACATGTGCAAGCTGAAGCCGCTGCTGAACAAGTGGCTGGAGGAGGCCGACTCCTCCACCGGCAGCCCCACGAGCATCGACAAGATCGCGGCGCAGGGGAGGAAGAGGAAGAAGCGGACCTCCATCGAGGTGAGTGTCAAGGGCGTGCTGGAGACGCACTTCCTCAAGTGCCCCAAGCCGGCCGCCCAGGAGATCTCCTCGCTGGCGGACAGCCTGCAGCTGGAGAAGGAGGTGGTGCGGGTCTGGTTCTGCAACCGGCGGCAGAAGGAGAAGCGCATGACCCCTCCGGGCGAGCAGCCGCAGCACGACGTGTACTCGCACGGCGTGAAAACGGACACGGCCTGCCACGACCTCTGACCGCGGTGCGGCCCCGGGACTGCCCGGCCGCGGCACTGCCCGCCGCCTTTACTTTAACTTATGCTTTCGGGAGACGCGGCCAGGGCTCCCCGCCCGCCGCCGCCTCGGCAATATTTTTTTTTTTTCCTCTCTCCGACCTTTCCGCTGGTCACACACGGTGTTTACTCGCAGACAAGGTTTGTTTTCGGTCTCTGC